CTAGCCACACTCTTTGAATGATCTTAGAACGCTTTTTAGTGCTTGTAGCCTCACTCAACGAGAAGAATTGTTTACGGGAAGCCTCTTTTTTCGGAGTTTCACATCGTTACTTGAATTACAAAAAACAAAAGCTATCAAGATTCCGAAGCACATCATTTTTTATACATTTTGACCAGGAATACTTCAAAATCATCATATCTCCCATCAGAAAGTATCAGGACCTGTTTAAAAGTAGGTAGGCTGATTAGGATCCCCATCAAGCATGTGCAATATTTTCTCGGATATGAATAAAAAACATTTTACTCGGGAGATATAGGGCATTCAAAAAATCGTGACGATGGCGCGACCGCGGGCCACACGCACGCACCTCCCGACAACCGCATTTTCTTGGTTTTCATCCTTACTTGAATGGTATTGGTGCCCACGGATGAATTGCGAGGATGCTGGACAGTTTGGAACCTCATAAAATGCGAACAAGAGTTTTGACAGTGAAATTTCTTGAAGTGGAAGAGGAATTGTGACACTTTCAAAAAAGAATACTTTGTAAAGAGAAAGAGAGAGTGTTCGAATTTGAAAGACTCTAGATTTGGTAGTTCCAAAGTTGGCTAAATAATTTCAAGAGTATCAATTCGAATTTTCTTGCTAATTTAATTTCGGGAAGAGCTAAAAACAGTCTGATTAGAGCTATTAGGTGGAGGTTCTAAGGCAGTTTGGAGGGTCACTCAATGTGGGAAACAGGGCTCCGGCGTGGGAAGAGTGCACACAGCTGGGATTACTTTGACGGGTTTGGGCTTACGCTTCATTCACAAAAAATTTTTTACGTTACTTTCTTTACGTGTGAAAGTTTAGGAGCATCTTCATCAGGGGATTTTTTTGCAGAATGGAGAACTCAGGCTAATTCTGTCTTAATCGTGATCAGGCTGAACGTTTTGAAGGAGCAGATTTGGGGGCAACTTTTGAAGCGTAAGTTAGAACTGAAGAGTGTGGGAATGCGCGGAAAGATTGGTACTTCAGGAAATTATATTGAGGCTACTGGGTGAAAAGGAGTTGAGGGGAGGGGGAGTCCTCGAAAGATTCGGATAGCAAAACGCAAGATTACACAAGATTCGAGTATCTGTAAATTATCTCTGTCTTTACGAGCAAAGGAGTGGCGGTGCGGTTGGGAGAAGCTGGGAGGGGAGCCGTCATAATTGTGTTGCCGATTTTGATAAGAAAATCTTCGAAACTTTCGAAAGCAGGAAAGATCCGTAAAATTTGATCCAAAGCGCCGCGAAGAAGAACAAAGTATTTTTTTGAAAGTGTCACATATTCTCTTCGACTTCAAGAAATTTTACTGTCAAAGCTCTTGTTTTCGTTTTATGAGGTTTTCAAATCAGCATCCTTGCAATTCATCCGTGAGCCTCAAAATCCACTCGATTTTCAGGTTATCTTGTTGAGCAAGCTCAAATTTTTGTTGGGATCTACTCAAAGCTGCTTCTAACTGCTCCTACTCAGATAATCGCCTGCTCAGATAATCGCCGGGGGCAAGCGGCCATGCGAATTTGGAGCAAGCGGGCACCGGAAAAATAGTTCGCTGATTTTTTGTGGTCCGCTTGCAGAAATTTGGAATAATTTTGGCCAATTTTTAGACGAACGCTCGAAGATCTACCGCGCTTTTTCTATACATAAGTTGCGGCACAGTGGCCGCATTCTCGCGGACATTCCGCGAAAACATGCAAAATTATTGGGAGCCGCACGGTCCTTTGTGGAGGACCGCGCAACCCCCAGGTACTTTCCGCTGAAAGAAAGTACCCCAAACTTGGGTAATAAAACCATCGATGGCACCTCTGCCACATAGAGTCTCATCTTTTCTCGGCGTATGCCCGAAACCGCGTAAAAAGAGTCCGAGCGCCTGCTGAAAGTTTGGCCAGCGCTCGCTGAAAGAGATTGTTTGACGAGCGCTTGCAGAAAATTTTGTATTGATGCCCGCTTGCAGAAAACGGAAATACCGCCCGCTGAAGATTTGGCCACGCCCCGAAATCCTGCTGACCGCCTGCAAAAAAGCGCGAGTTTGCGGACCGCCTGCCCCCGGCGATTATCTGAGTGGGGCAGGCGGCCGTGCGAGTTTTGAGCAAGCGGGCACCGGAAAAATAGTTCGCTGATTTCTTGCGGTCCGCTTGCCGAAATTTGGAAGAAAGTTGGCGAAATTGAAGACGAATGCTTGAAGAACATTCGCGGTTTCTTTATGGATTAGCTGCGGCGCAGTGGCCGCATTCTCGCAGACTTTCCACGAGAACATGCAAAATTATTAAGGACCGCACAGCCCTCAGGCACTTTCCGCCAAGAGAAAGTACCTCAAACTTAAGGTAATCAAACCATCGATGAGACCGCTGCGGCATAGAGTGTCACATTTGCTCGACGTACGCCCGAAACTGCTTAAAAAGAGTCCGAGCGCCTGATGAAAGTATGGCCAGCGCTCGCTGAAAGGGATTATTTGACGAGCGCCTGCAGAAAATTCTGTGTTGCTGCCCGCTGGCAGAATATTAGACAGTAAAGGAAGTGCCGCCCGCTGAAGGTTTGGCCACACCCCAAAATTCTGCTAACCGCCTGCAAGAAAACGCGAGTTTGCGGACCGCCTGCCCCCCGCGATTATCTGAGTAGGCAGATCTCGTTCCTTATACAATTTGAGGTGCAACATTTTGACAAAGCTGCGTGTAGGTTAGTAAAGCTTCAGTTGTTAAGCCAACTTGCATGCTACCTTGTCTCTTACTCGTAACTAAGGTAAATACTATCGGCAGATTCATACAGCATTTAGTCCTAATAAAAAATCACCATCGCATTGACATTCTTCTACATTACTCTTCGAATTTTTAATGGAAGGAAAACTCGGAAATAGAGGTGGTTTCTTTAGAGTTTACTCTTTCCAAGCTGAAGAAGGTTTTTGCATCCAGCTTTTATCGAGTTTCAAAAAAATTCGCATGACCACGCTGCATTCGTTTGAAAAGATAGTGTTTTGTGCAATCGTTGGCAACTACCTAAAAAGTTCACATAGTTTTGAGATGTCATCTCGATGGAGTCAAAGATTTTCGAAGTTTAACAATTTGATAAACATTTCTGCAGATGAATTTAGAGGAAACTGTCCAAAGATTTGCCTGTGGTGTACGCATTTCAAACGAAGTGCTCATTCAAAAAAAAATGTCCGAAGTAAAGTTCGCGAGAAATCTCCAAAAACAGATTTAGTACGTTTTGTCTGGGATAATAACATTCACTAAGCACTCCATGGAGAGCTTCAACTTTCTTGTTGAGAAATGTTAGCAGATAAATCAGAAGGATCGATTAATTGAAGATCTGGCGCAACTGTTTTACGGTGAGGAAACATACTAAGCAGTCGAGAAATGAACTATGGAAGACTGCAGTGTTTTGCTAAATTGCCTAACTTTTCTGAAAAGTTTATGCTGCACTGCATATTAAATACTCCATAATAGAAACAGAGAAGCGAGATGTCAAAAAAGAACGTAATGGTGGTGTGTGGAGAGGGCCATACGATAGGTCGACGTACGAAAAGCCCGCGAAGCGAAGTTATGGCGGGAATCACAGGGATATTTAAGAAGTGCGCGCCGAGACCTGCATTCCCCCGCGAAGGATCTCAGACTCGATATCGTTTTCTCATCTCATGCGGTTGCCTTGATCGAGCTTTCCTTTTGTCTTGTTCTTTGTTGTTTTTCCTCGTTGTTCTGTAGTAAAGTTTTCGTTGTTTGATTTCCTGTTCTGAATTTCCGGCTTGGAGCCGTAGATCCCTATCGCAGAACCCGAGGGGTACATGGGGGCCGAACCGATCGATAGGGATTGAGATTTCGCAATAATGTTGCAACGTGAGGGTACGGACAAGGAAATCATTGATTGTTTCCAGATGGCGGAAGGTTCGAGTGCCGCCAGAAAGACACCGAGAGGGGCTAGTTCCACTGTTAGCGCCTCGGGTAAAAAGGTGAGTATCACGAATTTAGAAGAAATAGTTACGGATATGGTAGGCAGATTGGAGAACGCACAGAAAATCATACAGACACTTCCCGAGGGGGTGCGAAAAGAAACAGAAGATGCAAGAATAGCGGGGAAGTATAGGGAAAATCGAACGAGTATTGGGAGAACAAACAACGATAATAAGTGGGGAATTAAACAAAATGAAGGGGGAATGGAACCACATAAGAGTTTTTGTGGGAAATTTGTGCAGTCTGCTACTCACAAGAGATATCGAGTCAGTATTAGATTTAGAAGAGTTTCTTAGAACAACGGAAAAAGATATAGTAATGATGATAAATGACATTTGCGAGATGTTCAATACGGATGTATTGCAGGTAATGAATGTGTAGTCGGAAATGCACAAAAGTGTGCTTAACAAGCAACGAGAAAAGGACGATAGCATGGAAATGGGACGGAGTAAAGGTAAGAACAATATGGAAGGATACAATAGTAGTGGCGCTCACTCGGATTCCTTTCAGAACAGAGCAAGGTCCGCACTGATACAGAATGGGCTCCACTCAGAGTGGCTCTGGAGACAGCATTCGCAGGACGTAGCGGAGACAGGTCAGTCCCAGAGTCTCTTAGCTCTCATGCAGGCCAACGCATGCGTGAACCCTGGACTGTTCAGGGGTGGCCGGCACGAGAATTTCAAAGAATTTTTGAGAAGGTTCAAAAGGAAATATCAAGGGGTGATAAGGGACGATGAGGTACTAATTGAAATTATGGGGGATAACCACCTCGAAGGTAGGGCGAAAAGTGTATTTTTAGCACTTCCAGAAGAAATCAAAGCGAGGGGCTTTGAAAGCGTAGCGGAAGCACTAAAAAGAGTCTTAGCTAACGACTCAACAGCTGGGAGGTTACGGGCATTAGCAGACCTCAGGCAGCTGAAACGTAGGGAAGGCCAGAGTGTGGCTGATTTTTGTGTTGTGCTCGAGAAGCTGGGAAGGCAAGCCAACCCTACCGCTTCGGTAGGGGACCGGTCACTCGACTATGCACAAATTTTGATGGATAATTTGAGGGGATGGCCGGAGCATACGCAACTGCTCACCGCGATTCACAGGGTAGAGCCGCAGGAAGTCTATAATACAGTAAAGCAGCTAGCGTTAAGCATAGAGCAATCAAAGGAAATGCTCGACGGCGGAAACGAAATTAAGAGGTACAATTGGAAAAAGAGGTATCAGTTCCATGAGCACAGTGGGAAAGAACTACAAGAGCCAGACGAACAAAGGACAATAACTGTGAACAGCAGGACAGATATGAGTAGATGTGTGGAAGTGGATCAAAATAGAGCTACAAGAGGGGTGGCATGGAGAAAAACAAGCGGTTCTGGGAAGCCGGGTTGTCAAGAAAAGCTCTATACAGGGCTTGGAAGGCCTGAGAAAAGAGGAGGCACGGATCAGAGAAGATGTTTCAATTGTAGAAGATATGGACATATTGGGAGAGAGTGTCCGTATAAGCGCACGCAAGTAAACCAGATTGAGAAAACTAAGGGGTTCCTGCAAAACGGAAAACAGGATAACCTGACCGAAGTGATAGGTAAAGCGACGAGCCTAGGACTTAAGGTATATATGGGGAGTAAAGGTTCATTGGTAGGTGAGAAATGTGCGGCCCAAATAAGCATGCTAAACCTGTAGGTACCAGCTATACTGGACACAGGGTCGATGATTAGCATTGTTCCTGTGGGGGTGCTGGCACGCGCGAAGAAGGCAGGCTATGACGTAGATGTTTTAGAGATGATATCCGACAGAAAGTTAAACCCGGTATATGACGCCTCGACCAACAAGATGAGCTTCCTGGGAGCTGTTAAAGTCCTTGTAAAATTAGAAGGGGGAAAGAAGAGCATAGTAGCATTCCACATATCGGATGTCAAGGATGATGATGTACTGATCACCACGAATGCATTGGCAGCTTTGGGAGTCGATATAATACTCAAAACGGAGGAAATGCAACAGGATGTGCTCGACGGGAAAAGAGTAGTAGCAACAAAGCGGGTGTACATTCCTCCACGTAACTCAATACTAGTGCCGGCGCGATGTGAAGGAGGCAGTGAACTAGAAGAGAGGGTAGTGCGGCCAAGTAGGAAGGACCTACCCGTCGGGGTGTTCACAGTGAAGAATCAGGAACTGGACATCCCAGTCATGAACACCATGGAGAAGCCAATGATTATTAAAGAAGGAGAGGAGCTAGGACAATGGGGAACAGAGAAGTGGAAAAGTAAGTGGGAAGAAATGAATCCACTAATGATGGACAGTGAGATACCTCGATAGGGAGGAACGCCGTAACATCCTGTATGCACAGCTGAAGGAAGGGTCCAAGGTAGAGCAACTGGATGACGACTTGAAACAATTGGTGGACGAATTCGAGGAGGCATTTGCCGTGCTCGACACAGAATTAACAGGAACAGACAGAGCAGAAATGTCCATTGAAACTGGGGATGCCAAACCAATAAAGCTGAAAACTAGACCCGTGCCGCTAGGGATTCGCAAAAAGCTGAAGGAGCTTCTAGGGGACCTGGAAAATAGGAAGATCATAGAAAAAAGTAGTTCAGCCTGGGCATTCCCGATCGTGTTGGTGGAAAAGAAGGATGGTAGCTTGAGGCTATGCGTGGACTACAGGGAGTTAAACAAACGGATCAAGTTAGACTCGTATCCACTGCCTACGATTGATGCAGTGCTACAGAGCCTGTCAGGCAAGAAATTTTCCTCCACGCTAGATTTATGTTCGGGGTACTGGCAGATACCACTGGCACAGGAAGCAAGGGAGAAGTCGGCATTTACGACAACAGAAGGGTTGTTCCAGTTCAGAGTAACTCCTTTTGGGTTGAGTACAAGTCCTGCGGTATTTCAACGTCTTATGGATTCAGTACTACGAGATGTATTAGGGGATAAACTTTTCTGCTATATCGACGACATAATCATATGTACAAACGCACGAGAGAGGCATTTTGAGCTACTTGGTAAGGTATTCAAAAGCTTGCAAGAAGCGGGACTAAAATTAAAGGCGAAGAAGTGCGTTTTGTTACAAGAGAAAGTGGCGTTTTTGGGGCATGTGATCGACTGTGAAGGAGTGCACATGGACCCCAAAAAGGTAGAAGCAATCGAGAAGTATGCGGTCCCGAAAAGTTCCAAAGAGCTGAGAACATTTCTCGGCATGGCATCATACTACCGCAAATTCTGCCTTGGATTTTCCAAGGTTGCGGGGAGTTTATTTGCGTTGACCTCACCCAATACTGTGTGGAAATGGGAGGCAGAGCATGAAGAAGCATTTTCTAAGCTGAAGAAAATGATAGCCTCTGCGCCTGTATTGATGCAGCCGGATACTGAGAAAGCAAGGGAATGATCCCGACCATTCGTGATATGCACAGATGCATCTACGGTAGGTGCTGTCCCAAGAGGGGGACGACGGGCTAGTACAACCAGTCTACTTTGCCTCGAAAGGACTCAGCAAGGCAGAGAGGCGGTACCACATTACTGATTTGGAAGCTTTAGCCGTAGTGTTCGCGGTAAGCCGCTTCCACATGTTCATATACGGACTTCCTACCATAGTTCTGACAGATCACCAACCCTTGACAGCGCTTTTCAGTAGGAGTAACGTATCGGCTAGAGTACTAAGATGGTCACTAGAAATGCAAGGATACAATTTGGTAATAAAATATGTGAAGGGTAAGACCAATGTCGTAGCAGATGCTTTAAGTAGGGGCTCTATAGAGCGTGGAGTCTGGGAAACTGCGGATGCAAGTGAGGCCGTTGTGAGTAGACTAGAGGTAGAAGAAAAAAGTAGGTGGCTAAAGGAGCTAGAAAATGATGAGGTTTTTGGTCAGGTTATTGCCATGTTGGAAAAAGGAGAGCTGGGCAAATCGATAAAAATACCAGGGTTGCGCTATCCTATACAAGTAGCCGATTTCGAGATCGAAAGCGGGGAACTGAAGATGTACCAGGAGGAAGGGAATTTGGTTATGGTAGTACCTAAAACCGCAAGATATGAAGTGTTTCATGAAGCACATGCGGGGAACTTTGCCGGACATTTTAGTGCTCATAAGTTATGGAATAGACTCAAGAAACAGGTGTTCTGGCCTAACATGCTAGCAGACATAAGTAAATGGACAAGAGAATGTCAACGGTGCTTTCTACATAACCCAAGAGCGACAGTGAGGCCACCGCTGAAACCAATCGTTACGGAGAAGCCGTACGAAATCATAGGGATTGACGTGCTGGAACTTGGCCTGGCAACAAGCGGAAACAGATATGCTGTTACGGTCATTGACCACTTCTCAAAGTATGCGGCAGCATATCCGGTTCCGGACAAAACGGCTGAAACGATAACAAAAGTTTTATTTATAAGGTGGATAGCAGAGGGATGTAGATGGCCCAAAACAATATTATCTGATAAGGGTGGAGAGTTTGAAAATAAGGTGATGGCAGAACTCACAAAAATTACAAAAATCGAACATGTAACTACGAAGGGGTATAATCCACGAGAAAACGGTATAACAGAAAGGTTAAATGGGACTATACTGGCCATGCTGCGTAAAAGCCTCGCGGTTCCAGTGGAATGGGATGCGAGACTGCCGTTTTGCATGATGGCATACAACCTTACTCCACATAGTGCTACGGGAGAAAGTCCATATATTTGTGCTTCACGGCATGGACCCAAATTTCAACTCAGCAGTAATCCCAAGTGGAGGGTTCTCTTGGTACTCTATGGTAGAGAACATGGCGGATTACAAAGCGCAGTTATTGCAAGTTGTAGCAGAGGCACATGAGCGTGTAAAAGAGTACAATGACAAAGTGAGAAGGGAGATGAAGCGTCTGTATGACCACCGGAATAAGGTAGATGCTGCGAAACTTCCGAAGGTAGGCGACATGGTATATCTTTTGGCTTCTAAAGAGAAAGGGATGAGCAATGAGCACGCATCCGAAATTAGTGTCAGAATGGGCTGGACCATTTCGAGTAATAGAAACAAGCCAAAATTCCGCGCTAATTACGAGAATAGGTGAAGAAACGGAACCCATACAAGTTCAGTTTGATATGTTAAGGATAGTTCCGAAATACATCTCCGATGAGCCCGTAGGTACAGTGACTAAAAGGGGCAAAAGAGGGAGGAGACCTAAAGTTAGTGTAAAGAAAGTAACAATGTTTTCTTTCAGAGGTGCGGTGATTGCATCCAAAACCGAAAAAGGACATCTCGAGTACCAGTGTAAGGATGGATGCTTGAAGAGAGTCTGTCTTGGAGAGTTAGAAGGAATAAAGTTTCCTGGTGCACTGGCAAAGGAACCGATTGGAAATCTGTGGAAGGCCTGGAAAGCCGCAAGCATCTTCGCAAGGACTGACATCGACATGGCCTCAAAGATCAAATTCTGGAAGGATGGAGCCGTTTGTATGGACCCAGATGGACTGAGGAAACTACTGCGAGTGGCGTATAAAAGATGCATCGACTGGACTGAATTTATTTGCGAAAACGAAGGAATAAGGCGCCACGAAAGAATCGACAATTACGAATTTGACAGGATTTACGACGCAGCCTTCAGAAGAGCCAAAATGGAATTAGAAGGCGAAGAACAAGGCCATGGACCGGTAAAGGAAGGCGGCACAGCATTCGCAGCTCCAGCGTCAGCACTGTTAATGGAACGAGATGGACCGAAACGAGGCATTCTCACAAGAGTTGCCACCACCTTCACCCAGCTAAAGGAAGTCTTGCAGGAATGGAAGGAATACCGCACATGGGTCATCGTCTGGCCGAAAGACCAACTGGCAGTGAACAGTGACTTATGCGAGGTAATGAAAACGTGCGTGCAGCAGTTTGAAGAAGGTGGAAAAATCGTGACCGTGTGGCCCCCTATAATGGAGAAAATCGCGGACGAATGGAAAAAGCTTATAGAACTATGGGAAGTCCTCGATCAGACGTTGCTGCACCAGGCTAAACCAGGACAATGCATAGTCACTGCCGGGACGAAGGTGGAGGACGTCAAGATTATGATTGAAGCAGGAGCACCAGAAAGCTGTTTGTTCTACTATAGTGCTTCAGATCTTCCTGTCGCGTGCGCAAAGATACTGTACGAGGCCGTGAGAAGAAGAGTCGCGAAACAGATGACGCTGCCTGAATTAAAGAGGAATGAGCTGCCGATGAGGTCATCGGCTCCCAAAGGGGGGAGCGTGTGGAGAGGGCCATACGATAGATCGACGTACGAAAAGCCCGCGAAGCGAAGTTATGGCGGGAACCACAGGGATATTTAAGAAGTGCGCGCCGAGACCTGCATTCCCCCGCCAAGGATCTCAGACTCGATATCGTTTTCTCATCTCATGCGGTTGCCTTGATCGAGCTTTCTTTTTGTCTTGTTCATTGTTGTTTTTCCTCGTTGTTCTGTAGTAAAGTTTTTGTTGTTTGATTTCCTGTGCTGAATTTCCAGCTTGGAGCCGTAGATCCCTATCGCGGAACCCGGTGAGGGGTACAGGTGAGACAATGTACAAGCGATTTGACCAACCTCCGATGATTTTCGAAATGAAGCTATTACAATCAGTGGAGTAGTTTAACCAATTCAGCCGCTGTCAGTTCAAGTGGTGTTAACGCTGCTTTTGGCGCCAACTCATGAACATCGCTGAAGAGCATAACCGAAAACATCTAAAGGCAGTACTGTATGACGTCACCAGCACGACTCATCTTGGCTGCCGGGCGCGTTGTCATTAGTGGTAAACAACGCCGGGACATAACATCCATGCTGAATCACATGGGGGTGCTAACGCTATATATAATAGTATGGAGTATGGATAGACTAGGCCTCATAAGTTACATAAGAGTAATTTGAGCCTTACTGGTCCTCTCTATTCTGAGATATTGAAGCGGAAAATGGAACAAATGAGATTTCGGCTTGCTCGTAATCTATAGTTTAAATGTAACTCGGAGTGAGATTCCTGGTGTGAGCAAAGAAGTAGTAGTTTCTTTGTACTAACAAGGGAAGCTACCTAACTTAGCTTGGCCTTCTGGCAAGGGACATATATATTCTAAATCAGCTTCAATCGGTGATTCCAAATCTGCTATTGCTAGCTGCCGAGCGCCGTTCCGAAGCGAGTTATGTTCTTTTTCCTGCGCGAAATTGGCATACTGTTGAACATGGGAAGACTGCCTATAGATGAAAACCTGCAAGAAAAAGGTGCTGAGATGTTGAAAAAACACAAATCCAATCTTTTCTCACTGGAAAGAAGCTTAACGCAAGTGTATTAGCACTTAGGTGATGATGCCGTGATGCCAGTAAGTCGATGAGTATGCCAA